TTATACGATAATATGTCGTTTATTACACGCAACAAATTATACATTTAAAACGTGTTAATTTAGTGAGTTAAATCAACACGTATTAAGCGTGTTCCAATTTTAAACACTAAGAAACGTATTAAAAGTGACTTCAATAAAAACACACGTCAAGTGTGTTAAATTAACACACTTGGATTTGCAGTGATATACTCATCCTTCTTTCTATATTTCTCAAGACAGTGATTTTCAATAATAATAAAAAAATTATTATTTATGATATATTATTGTTATCTTATTTATTTATTACGTTTTTTTTTTGTTCTCATTTTTGTCTTGATATTTGATCACAATAAGAGATAATTGAAAATTTTAACTATTGGCGACATGAGGGATATTAATTAGAAATACTAATTTATATAATAATTTAAATAATTTATATAATAATTTATATAATAATTAGCGATACTTGTTAATTGACTTTTTATGAAATGTATAATTAAAATGCTCATTGATAATAATGATTATCAAAATAATTATATTGCAAATAAAAGAGTTTAGAAAATTCTCTTAAATGATTGATTTTATATATTTGTTTTTGAATATTTTGAAATTTGTTATGTTAATCCAGTCCAGTCTTGTCAATTTTGAATTGTAAAATAAAAATACAAAACAGCATATAAAAAAAACTTACTTGTTTGAGCAACCGCATCGAGCTCGGTTTGTCGACTTTCTTGAACTCGGTGCATGGTGCTTGGATGGATCCTTGGCCGTCCAGGGGCAACTTCACATTCTGGGATTCCATGAGGATCTTAACCGAACCTTGTTCGCTTGGTAATAGCGGATCAAATTGCTTGTAATCGACGTCCTGATCTTTGTCCAGCGATTTGTAAATCTGTGCTCCGTTGAGGGCTTTTTGGTTGTTTCTCAAATTCTCGGCATAATAGTGATTGGACGACTTGTTTGTATCACCGGAAAAGTATCTCTTATCGGCAATAAGAGCAGTCTGACTATTAAAGGGACTAACGTTTGTCTCAAGAGTGATGTTCGACGAGCAATCTAGAGTGGACCCAGAATTGGACGACGAGGGTCTTATGACCGGGGATACCCTCGTATAATATTTTGGTAGAACGCTGCGTTCCTAAAATATAAAATTAGAAAAACTCGTTAAAGGTGTGTTACGAAAATTCTTCCTTTTTGAATTTAAAAAGATTGAGAGGGAGTTGAAGATACAAGTGTTGTCAGATTTATTTGAAGTGAAACTATATCGATACGCGTTTGTAAGATGATAAAAAAGAGATATGAGAGATGATATCTTTCAAGTAAGACACGAAACTAATTTTTATTCAATGTCAAAAAATATTTCGAATTGATTTGTTGCTACTCGCAATTAAAAAGTTGATGTTTATAATAAATTTTCATATGCAATTTTCATATGCTTTTGAGTATTTATTAAAATATTAGAGAAATATTTTGCAATAAAAAGTAAATAAAAGTGTTCGTTAAAACTGGAGAAAACCGGAAGAGAGGGATCAAACTGGATACTACTGGACTTGAACATTTGCGCCATTTTGCGATAAAGTTGGATAATATAAACAGTACAAAGAACATCAATCCGAAGAAAAAAATTGATTTTAAAATTAATATAAGATTATCCATCAAAATATTGAGTTTATAAAAATATTAAGATTGCAAAGTTCATTTCTAGATTAAATTAAAGAAAATTAGTTGAATACAAAGTTTATAAGAAGAAAAATTTTGAAATGTGCGATCACCAAAAATACTAATCTTTCCGAAGACGTTTTATATTTTTAAAAACATTTTATTTTCCGTGTTTTATCTCATCTGTTTTCACAAAGTCACTCAGTTACTATCACTTTGTTACTTTCCAAAATTATCATAAGCAACGAAAAGGAAAGCATTTATCAAAAATGAAATTATGCAAATAAACTTGTTTCAATGGAATGCACTCACAAATGAAAGTTATGCACTCGAAAAAGACAAAAGACGGATATAAAATAATAATTCAAAAAGAAAGAAAATCGCGTTACCGACCACTAAAGATCGAACGTCTGTTTGTTCGCTTCGCTGTTCACTTAAAGGGTTGAAATGTAAAAGTCGTACTATTTATACTGCCTCCGTTTATCAGAAATTGCGTTGAAAGTTTGCTATAGAGAGAGAAGCAAATCATGAAGGAGCGAGAAAAATAGATAATAATTAATGCATACAGACAGGCAGAGCAAAGAAGAAGAAACATCGTGATGATTATCAAATAAGCCAATGACGAAAAGCGGCCAGAGAATCAAGCGGCCTGCTCAGAAAGTGATTAGATAGATGACTTTTACCCCTGAAGATTGATAACCTCTTGAACTTCACTGTTAAGCGAGCATGTCGCGCGAATATATTTCTTCTCTCTCGAGTTTACGTGGAGCATATTGCGCGATGCTGATCCGAAAATTCGTCGAAATATTTTGTAATTAATATCACGTCTCGATACAACTAATGATGATTATGACGAAAAACATTCCGTAATCCGCAGTTTGTGAAACTTGTAAGTTACAAATCCTCCAATTCTTTCCAAAACTTAAATATGCAAATGTTTTTGTTTTGTTTTTGCGGAGATTAATATTTTGATATGTTTTTTAATAATATAGACTTTCTCATTTGTTTGTGATGTTTTGCTTTTATAAATTTTTTTTCAGTGACATTTAGCAGAGTGTTTCTACAAGCGTTTCTGTTATTTGTCACGTACTATTATTTCATGTGAAAACGAACTTCACTATATAATTACGAGGTCGCAGTATCGATCTGGAAGTAGTCAAGTTTTAGGTCATGGTGCATCACGAATTATTTGCAGGCAAGTCAAATAAGACACGTTGTTCTGCATATGAAACATTGCTAGTCCGTAATTTGCATAGTTTCCTTGCGAATAATTAAAGAGGATTTTGTGACATTATCATGAGCTGTTGTTTTTTCATACAATCTTCTTGCACGATAACAGAAAGAAAAACATTTTACAATTGTAATAATTTTTACCCTAAGTAGATATGATCTTCTGTTTGAAAAATCTGTTATTCGTGAAAACACTTTTTCGAATTAAAAACAAAAAAACAAACATTTCCGCAATAATTGTTAACACTTATAGATTAATTATTTTTTAAATATATTTTTGCGAAGTTGTATAGTGTTACATCACTTGTAAGTGATAATATTCACTTTTTTACACAGTTCAAGAAACGGAACAAGTCTTTTTATAATCTCCGACAGATTTAAGGTCAATATTCCAATTTTCAGCTTAACTTCGGTTTTATTCTCCGTCATTTTATTCTTCGTCGTCTCGTGTTCTGTTGTCGGTATAACACTGAGAATAAGTTATTGCAGTAAGTAAAATTGCTTAATAAGTGCCCCCTCCTTTTATTAAAAATCAAATGTTGGTAAATTTTACGGCGCCTAACCCGAAGGTTAGACATTTAATAGCGAAACTGCATGCACACTCCCACAAATAAAAAAATTGTTCTAGAATTCAGTTGTTCAGTCAGCGTGAAATAATAAATTATCTTTTGTGTTCTGCTAATGCGCGCCTCTCATCACGTGTTGATGCAATTATACTGTGTCAAAAAATTGTGTGTTTGTTCCGCGGTCGTCACGTGCATCTTACATGTATGAGGTAAAGTTCATGTACGCTATGATATGAATTCTGTGACGTTTCAAGAGAAGAAAACCGAGGAGTGTTTGACATAATGTTCTGTAGCTTGTTCATCGGAGTTGAATTTACTGACGTTCTTTGCTCACGCGCTTTTACGCGCGTAGAAGCATATTTAGTTAGCGATTTACGAAAATGTATTTACGTAAAAAAAAATAAATAAAGAACTATGTAAGAACTATACTGTTCATTGATATTTCTCGTGAAAACGTTTAGGAGCATTATTGTTTCTCAACAAACGAAAATCTGAAAATGTTTTGTCGAAAAAAACACAAAGGAGATAAGACTTATTTAAGAAAAGATTTAACCAAGAAAACATTTTAGAAAAAGAAAAAACATTGAAGAGTAGGTCGTATATATAATAATTCAATTATCACGTTTAGAATAAGGTATCCAGTTTAATTAAGTATTCGTGATCTTTAGCGCGGTTCTCCGTCACACGATAGATTAACAATCACAATCATTTACAGAATTATGTGTTCTACTAGATTTCCGTTTTATCAACAATAAAGAAGTTTCACACAATACTTCCGCAATTATTTAAATTTTTTGCAATTATTCTTAGTGCTAATGGTCCAACTATATCTTGTGGGCTTGAAGTAACATATTGCACGTAACATGGTGCTTCTTATCAACAAGAAACTGGTGTAAGAAAAACTTATGCTGAAATTATTCTGTGCATGATTTCTGAACGATTCTTCCTACAGAAGACACAAAAATAATTCTTGTAGTGTTCAATAACAAATACTATGTGTTTCAGTGTCCCACGCATTCACATATTATTTCAATTCAATACGATCGATTGAGTCAACTGTAGCATAGCCATTTGACTTTGACGATTGTTTGACGAGGAATTCTATATTGAACATTAAACCGATTGAGATTTTTCCAACAATTACGTGAAACACAATTTGAGCTTAAAAAAATAAGGACATTAAGTTTTTTACTTACATTTAATGTTAGCAATAGAATATTCATAATTAGAATCGTGAATGTTCATCAAGCGCACACACAGTTACAATGCGTAATTTTTGATAAAGCTTTTTACTTTTTATTATCTCTTTAATTTGACTATGCTTCCGTAGATTGTTTTTATATCAAACATATATGTCTCGCAGCTTTAATAAAAATTTTCGAAAGACACATTACGTAACATGATGTCTCACATCGCAACTTCATATTTTAAAAGATAAGCTGAAGACTTTGGTTTTTCTCGAAGAGAGTTAGCAAACACGGCTATCATTTGTTGATACTTATGTATTAGCTTCAGCAGTGTCGTCATTTCGCATTCTTTCTTTCATCGAAGAAAAACATCAATACGCAAATGTACAACAGCGTTATTTTTTCCCAGAAATAAGTAACACAGCTCGATTTGACTGGCCACTGTTTTGAATTCATGTCATTTTCAATTCTGTCATGAATGATATTCTTCACTGATTTGTCGTGCAAATACTTTCATATGTAAAATATATGTGATACGTGTAAAATATATTTTTCCGACTCTCATCCCATTTTTCAGCAAATAAACAAAAGAGCGTATTTTATTTCGATTATGTAAATCTACCGAGATTGTGTAATCCGCATCACGCGATCGAAACATCGATCTACGTTACAAAGGAAAGAAGAAATTGTTTCGCAAAACGAACTGCGACACGTTACGTCATGATATGTTACTTCGTATCGAATATAATAATTGAAATACGCGGTAATTAAATTTAAAAAATTGCTGTGTTACATTCCACACATCGAATCGTTTTTTAAGATATCGAAAGTATAGTGCATACTTCGCTTGAATGAATTTTATTTTAGGGGAATTGCACATGTGTTTTGTTTCAACGAAGTTAACAAGAAAATTTATATAACATAATTAAACGGCGTTTATCTTTGAATTTTATTGGTCAAGCATCTCTTTTGAATATCTAATGTCAGTGAAAAAAAAAAAAAAACATGATATGTCAGTGACGACGGCAAGAAAATTTTCCGGATAACCTTGGACGCGAGTGTTCAACTGCATTACGCAAAGTTCGGTCAATAGTTTTCGAAATTAGATTGTTTATTTCTTTCTAAATCAACACGCACTACCCACGCGAGATATTTTTAGTGCTTCCCAATGTAGAGTCTTTCGTTTCAGCTGGTGCTATTTTTGCATCGTATGGACGTTTGCCAGATAATGCATTTTCGTTCGAGAGGATGCTTCGTCATTTTGTTAGTGGTACAATAATGAGTGCATCTTTCTCTTGCATCATCGGTCTCTTAAATCGAATCAAATTGAAGTGATTATGAAGATTGCGTTATTAACTATCAATGCGAAATTAATCTGAGAATGTTATTGCTAATAAATTCAAACAAGATTTGTTAATAATTGAACCTGCCAACATATGTGTACTCATTTTTCTGTTAATGTTATATCTCTCGTCATATAATAATTAATTTGAACT